TGTATTTGGGGAATAGATGTTCTGAATTGAGACTTTGGTGCTGATGGATTTCTTCTGTGATGAATACAAAATGACCATCTTCATCTCTTTTGATTGCTTTTGGTTTGAAGTCTAACTTGTTAAATATTAGGATAGCTACACCTGCTTTCTTCTTGGTTCCCTTTGTTTGAAAGATCTTTTCCCTTTACCCTTTACCCTGAGGTAATGTCTGTCTTTGAAGGTTAGATGTGTTTATTGTGTGCAGCAGAAGGATGGATTCTGTCTTTGTATCCATTCTGTTTGCCTGTGTCTTTTTATAGGTGAGTTAAGACCATTAATTTTGAGGGAAAGTAAGGACCATTAATTGTTAATGCTTGTTTGTTTTAGATTTGTTGTTGGCAGTGTTATTGTGAATATATAGTTGCCCTCCTTTGTCCTTGGGTTGCTATGTCTTTGTGAGCGTAGTTAACTTCTTTGGGTTGGAGTTTTCCTTCCAGATCTTTTGTAGGGCTGGATTTGAAGATATGTATTGTGAAAATCTGGCTTTGTCATTGAATGTCTTGTTTTCTTCACCTATATTGATTGAGAGTTTGCTGGGTATAGTAGCCTAATCTGGTATCTGTGGACTCTTAGTACTTGTAGAACCTCCTGGCCTTGAGAGTTTCCATGGAGAAGTCAGGTGTAATTTTGAGCGGTCTGCCTTTATATGTCACCTGGCCTTTCCCCTTCGCTGCTCTTAATATTCTTTCTTTATTCTGTATGTTAGATGTTTTGATTATAATGTGTTGACGGTCCAGTTTCTTTGGTCCAGTCTATTGTGTTCGGTATGCTTCTTGTACTTTCATGGGCATGTTCTTCTTCAGATTGAGAAAGTTTTCTTCAATGATTTTGTTGAATATGTTTTCTGCACCTTTGAGCTGAGCCTTCTTCACCTTCTTCTATGCCTATTATTCTTAGGTTTGGCCTTTTCCCAGTGTTCATTTCCTAGATGTTTTGTGTTAAGGATTTGTTGGATTTAAGATTTTCTTTGGTCGATGCATCTATTTCTTCTAGTTTATCTTCAGTGCCTGAGATTCTGTCTTCCATCTCTTGTGTTCTGTTTGTTATGCTTGTGTCTGTAGTTCCTGATCGTTTTCCCAGATTTTGTATTTTCAGCATTCCCTCAGTTTGTGTTATCTTTATTGTCTCTATTTCAGTTTTCAAGTCTTGAACTGTTTGAGTTGTTTACTTCATGTTTTTAATTGTTTTTTTCTTGGCTTTCCTTACTTTCTTTAAGAGATTTGTTCACTTCTTGTCTGTTTTTGCGAGGTCTTTTCCTCTGTTTCTTCCCATTTTTTGTTTGTTTATTTTTTTCTTCCATTTCTTTAATTGATTCTCTCACATCGTCTTTGAGAGCCTCTATCATTTTTTATGATTCTTTCAGTCATTCTCTTCTGCTTCATCTGCTTTGGTGTGTTCAGGTCTAGTTGGTGTAGAATGCCTAGATTCTGGTGGTGTCATTCTTGTCTTTCTATAGTTAGGTGTCTTCTTGTATTGCTGTCTTCCCATTGCTTCTTCCAGTGGGTGCAAGTGTGGACTGACTCTCTCTCTCTCTCTCTCTCTCTCTCTCTCTCTCTCTCTCTCTCTCTCTCTCTCTCTCTGCCACTCCCCCAGTGGTCTTAGGTGGGTCAGGAGTTCTATGTTTGTAGCTCTAGGTGGTCCAAACTCTCTATGAGTTCTCTGCTCAGGTAGGGACCCGGCGATGGTTGTCAAATGTAGGCAGGTGGGGACTCAGGGTGGTCACAAGTGGATAGACCTGTCCATTGTGTTCAGAACAGATCCAGGAACTTCCTGTAGGTGGCAGGATTGTTTGGCCTGCCCTCTGTTCCAGTGCTCAACCAGAGCAGTGGGGCAGTGGGCTCTGGCAGAGGCCCAGCAATGGGGGTCAAAGATCACACTGGGAGGGACTCAGGGTTGTCCTGTGTGATAGTCAGGTCTCCAGCAGAGGCCTGACAATAGGGGTCTCCTGAAGGTATATTCTTTTGTGTTTGGATGCAATGTTTACAGATGTCTGTTTAACCCAATTTGAACATAACTTATGTTATTTCTATTGTTTCCTTGTTAAGTGGTCCTGTCTAGTAGTGAGAATGGGGTGTTGAAGTCTCCCACTACGAGTGTGTGAGGTTTTATGTGAGCTTTGAGGTTTTAGTAGCATTTCGTTTTCGAATGTAGGTGCCTTTGTATTTGTGTCATAGATGTTTCAAATTGAGACTTGTACTGATCGATTTCATCTTTGGAGGGCCTCTATAATTTTTATAAAGTTATTTTTAAATCACTCTCTTCTGCTTCATGTGCTTTGGTGCACTCAGGTCTAGTTGGTATAGAGTTCCTGGATTCTCTTGGTGTCATATTGGTCTTTCTATTGTTGGGTGTTTTCTTATGTTGCTGACTTTTCTTTGCTTCTTCTAGTGGGGGCTCTGAAGTCTCTCTCTCTCTCTCTCTCTCTCTGTCTCTCTCTGTCTGTCTTTATCCTGCTCTCCTGGTTGGTGTAGGTGTGTCAGCAGTTTGATGTTTGTAACTCTAGATGATCCTAGCTCTCTTGTAGGTCTCTCAAGTAGAGGCCCTATGATGTGGGGAAGACAGGCTCAGGATGGTCTCAAGCACTCAGGCAGAGGGCTGGTGATGGGGTCCAAAGATCAAGTGATTCTAGGCTCCAGATGGTCCCTCGTGGATAATCAGGTCCAGTATGAACAGAGCTGACCCAGGAAGTTCCAAGGAGATGGAGGGGGTGTTGGGCTGTGATCTGGCCAAATCATCACCCAGAGTAGTGGGGAGGGTAGGCTCTGGGTGTTGTGTGGTCTGGAGTACCAGGACTGAACTGCTCTTGCCAAGGTTATAGGCTGGAGCAAGATGTGGAGCTAACCCAGAGAGTTCCCAGGATAAGATGTTGGGAGGTGGGGTTGGCCTGGGTTTGTTCCAGCCTCAACTCAAGCAGAGGGCAGGTGGTGGGGCCCAAAGATCAGCTAAGTGCAGGCTCAAGGTTGTCCCAAGTGGATAGGTGGATCCAGTATGATCAGAGCTGACCCAGGAAGTTCCAAGGAGATAGAGGGGTTGTTGGACCCTTGCTCTCGCCAAATCCTCACCCAGAGTAGTGGGCCCATTAGGGCCATAGATGAGGGGAAGGTAGGCTCTCGGTTGTGTTTGAAACTAAGTACAAGGACTGAACCACTTGTGCCAAGGTTATAGGGAGGAGCAAGATGCGGAGCTAACCCAGGGAGTTCCCAAGAAAAGATGTGTGGAGATTTGGCCTGGGCTGGTCCCAGACTCACCTCAGGCAGAGGGCAGGCGATGGGACCCAAAGATCAGGTGAGTGTGGGCTCAAGGTGGTCCTGAGTGGATAGGTGAGTCCAGTTTGCTCAGAGCCAACCTGGGAAGTTCCAAGGAGTTGGAGGGGGAGTTGAACCCATGCTCTGGCCAAAGATCACTTTCTCAAGATTTCTTTAGCTAATGGCCATCCTTTCCCTTTCCTCCTGGTTTTATCCAAGCACCTTCAACTAGCAGTGTGATGGCCTTAGTCACTAATTTGCACTATTTCCATTTTTTCCTTTTGGTGTGATTAGTCCCTCCAATCCTCACCCCTTTATTATATTTGTTACCTTATCTCACCCCCAGTCTGGTATTATCTCCTGCTTCTGTTACTCTTTCTTAGAAATCCATAGGGAATTATTGATATACTTTGGAGAGAGTTTATAGGAAGTATGGAAATTCTGTAGTTAGTGGTCTGGTTATGTCAATGAGAATAAGGCTTCCTCCCATAAGTCATTGTGAACAGATTTAAAAACCATGCTTGCATTCTACAATTCTACAATTGTACTTTCTATAGATATCATTAGTGTTGTTCATTATATTTGGACAATAAAATAATGGAGTCCACAAGTTGATTATTTTCTTTCTGGGTAGCACATGTCTTCAAAAAAAAACTTTGCAAACCTTGTGACAGTATAATTTTTATAGCTCATCTTTAAAACTTAGACATTTATTTAAGAGATGGCATACAGATTTTTTAAATAAAATATTTGGTTTCAACATTTGATATTTCTTCTACTTGCTCTTTAACATATGTTATTATTTCTTTGAGACTTTCATAGATGTTTTGAACACATTCACATTCCTTCTCCATCTTTTCCCAGGTCCATAGCCAATTTTGTGTCCTGTCCAAAACAAACAAACAAAAAAATAAATAGCTTTCCTCTAATTGTTGATTATTTATTTAGAAAAATCTTCAAACAGTTATACCTGGCTTTAAATTGATACCAAACTCCCATAGTAATTTGTCCTTAATTGTGTTCAATTTTGAGAATTCTGTTGGCTCTGATTTTATCCATAGCTTGGTGCAAAGGTTTTAGTTGTTCTCCATTGTTATTTTAGGTCTGTTTTCTGGGAGGAAAAGCAGCTACTTTTATATAAATATACCTCAGATATCAATGATTACATTTTTTTCTGAGAATGTAGTATTTTACTATAGATTTAAATTTTTCTGATTAAAAATGTAATTTCTCATTTTATTGTTATTCACCATCTTTACATATTCTTGTAAAACCAATTAATGTTTAAGAAGGAAAATACTTCATTTCTTTGTTATTATTTGTGAAACAGAGCCTTGCAAGGTAGCTCTGGCTACTGGAATTTGTTTTGCGGTTGTGATAGGCCTTGAACTCATGACTATCCTGTTTCAGCCTCTGACTGCTGACTTATAGGTATGTGTTACCAAAACTTTTCAATCAATAAACATTCCCTAGTGTTGGGAATTGAACCTAAGGCCTCCAGCATAGTAGTCAAGCATTCTGTCTCTGGGCAATATCTCTGGCCCCTCATTTTCTAGCCAGTTTATATTTAATGTAACAAATATTTAAATAATTTACTAGGTCCTGAAATATCAAACGAGAAATTGGATTTGGGAGCATAGTTCATGGTGATGGTAAGTGAACAAGAAAAACATTTATTTACTGTATTAAATATTCCTTCCATTTGTACATTTGAAGGATCTTGGACTTGTTAATACCACTTACTAACCGGATTTGTGACACTGGAGCAGACAAAGTGAGCCCTGTTTACTCAGCAGTGTTTGGAGGACGAGAAGAATGCCTGGAAATATTACTACAGAATGGCTATAGCCCAGATGCACAGATGTGCTTGGTATTTGGGTTCAGTTCCCCTATGTGCATGGCTTTCCAAAAGGAGTAAGTATATTTGTTACACTTTGCTTCTTTTTAATTCCCATTTTACTTTTCTTTATAGCAAAACTTGATATCTCTGTTAGTACTAAGTTGCTAACCTAGATAAGGCCTGCTACAAGATCTGTTTTTCAGCCTAACAGAAGTGAGGTTGATAGTAACAGATTGTTCACCTTTTCTTTGTGGACTTGGATTACACTGTTAGTCTAACAGTGTTAAGGAATACTTTACATGTATTAATATAAATTCAGGTGTAGTCCGGTGTCTTTGAAATGATTCAGGAATTTATTTCACTATAATCCTTTTCATTTTTAATTTTTAAAGGTTTAAAATATATCCTTGGTTTTCAGATACTGTAACATTAACATATTTGTTATGCAGCATTTCTTACTGTATGTCATAAGAATTTATTTTGAAAGTCAAATACTTTTTTTTTATATACTTTTATACTCTGCTACAGTTCTGGGAAGTAGAATAAATGAAGAGTTACTGCTCTTTTTTTTAAATTTTTGGATAATAATTTGACCTTGAGACTCCTAAAGTTTTACAATACACATCAGTAGCTTTATGTGGTTGCTGACATTTAATCCCAGCACCTTGGGACAGAGGAAGGTGGATCTCTGTGAGTTCAAGGCCAGCCTTGTCTACATAGTAAGTTTCAGGACATCCAGGCCTATCTAGAGAGATGATGTTCTTTAAAAAAAAACAAACAAACCAAAACAACAACAAAAAGACATTAAGAATATGGGGGTAGGGAGTTAGCTCAGTCAGTAAATATGAGGACTTAAATTCAATCCACGGAATCCACATTAAATACTGTGTGTAGTGGTAGGTACTTTTAATTCCAGTGGTAGGGAGCAGGAGACTGAAGGATCCCTGGCTTATTGGTCAGTTAGTCTATAGCCTGATAGGTGAGTTCCAGATAAGTGAGAGACTCTTACCTCAAAATAAATGATGGCTTTCCTGAAGAGAATACCCAAGTTTGTCATGTGGCCTCCACATGGTCAGACATACAATAAGACTAAGAAAAACCATATAAAGTAATGCTTGTGCTCCACTAAAAAGTACAAATCCATTATGCTTGTGCCCCATTAAAAATACAAATCCATTGTGTTTGTTTGTTTGTTACTGTTAAAACACTTAAATTTTTATTACATGGTTTTTTTTTTTTTTTTTTTTTTTTTTTTTTTTTGCCTGCGTGTATGTTTGTGCACTGTATTCACGCAATGTCCACAGAAGACAGAAGCGGGAACTGGAGTTATAGATAGTTGTTAGCTGCTATGCTGGAAATTGAACCCGGGTCTTCTAGGTTAGGAGCCAGTTCTCTTAACTACTGAGCCACCTCTCCAGCCCCAACATTCTTACTTTTGACTGGACTGAGACTTAGAAGTAGAAGAACTTGGAGAGGACAGCCTACATCTCTTGACAATCTGTTCCTGGATTCATTCATTCTCTTCGCTAAAAATTTAGCACATTCTGCAGCCTCCTCTTACTTTCTTAGTGTGTTGTTACTTCAGAGCCATATGTTGACATTTGTGCTGCAGGGAACTTGGATAACAAAACACTGAATCTTGGGGGCTTTTGTCTTGAAAGATTCAACAGTTTTCAGATCCTATGTGGGTTTTTTTTTTTTTTTTGTTTGTTTGTTTGTTTTGTTTTTTGGACTAAGGCATGGTAGTACCTATCAGTTCAAGAATATCAGTTCAGCATCCACAATACATCCTTGAACAGATTTGTTCTTTGTATCTCCAGTTCCCCCCTTGGTCTGTAATAGAATACCCCTTGTCCAATAAGCACACTCTGCTGTGGGTCACCTTTTTCATCAGAAAACATATAGTTCTTACCCAGAACCCTAACCTCAACCCTGATGTCTGTGGCCATAGAGTCTATTATTTTAATGACACAAAAGTGGTTACAGGTATTGTTGTAATCTAGACAGACCTGGCCTTGGGAGCCTAGCACATGGCAAGCACAATTAATTTTATTTGTTTCAAATTTAAGCTTCCACAGTTTACATTTTAATATGAAGATTTGAAATTCTGGTTAATCTAAACATCCGAGTCCCACTTTATTCACAACTTCAATAATTTCGTAGAATTTCATTGTATAACTCTCACATGTTGTCTCCCAAGCTTTCAGAATTCTTTCTGTGCTTTTCTTCTAAGATTACAGATGTGAGCACCATCGTAGAATGTTACTGCCCTTCCTCTTTCTTCCTCCTCTATTCCTCCGTCTCCCTTCCTTGTGACAAATTGCCATTCAGTCATTCTGGTAATAGCTGCTGAGCTCTTGCCTTATTATCTTATAAGGCTAATGTGAAGTAGTTCATATAACACTGTCTTGCTGGGCTGGCAGTACCTTACGATTAATTGTGTTCCCATAGAGTTAGGCAGCATGATTCATTCCATTTATGACATTCAGATAGACTATGTTTAGTGGGAGAGGTTTTACAAAGGCTTATCAGAATTAGTTGAAATTGTAAGGGCAGTCTTCTTTCTCCTTTGAAGTCAACAAAACTAATAAATAGCATTAGTTCTCACAATAGTGAGAACTCAAATGGATCTTATGAAATGTATCGAGAAAATTGAAACTTTGTTAAGGATTTGAAACCTAGTGGGTTAATGGCATGTGTATATATTCTGCATCAGAGACAGAGGAGTTAAAAAAGTACCATTTCCATAAAATGTGCACCAAAAAGAATCTGCTTTATATGTGCACAGCAGTTCACAACCTCTGTGTTGTACTAAAAGACTAGTGGTTATTAGAAATATGATAATGGCTGGGTTACAACTAAAGACACATTGGGTTATGTTTACTATACACTATAAACTTTAAAAGCAGACCTTAAACAGCTTTACATTTTGTTAGGAGTAGGTTTTTCCGCCTGCCGCTGGTCTTGTCCCACTGCCGTGCCAGCCCCAAATAATACACATAGACTCTGTATTTGATGTAATGCTGTTGGCCAGTTTCTTATCGGCTAGCTCTGTCTTAAGTATTAACTCATTTCTATTAATCTAAGTATTTCCACATGCTCTCATCTTACTGGGGAGTGGAGCAGGCATCTGGTCTCCCCAGTCTCTCCATGCTTTCTTCTCCCTACTACTTCCTGGAAACCTCCTTGTCTCCTAGCCCAACCTATCTTGCTTTCCTATTGGTCAACAGTGCTTTATTCATTAACTTGGTCAACAGTGCTTTATTCATTAACTAGTATGAAAAACATATTTACAGAATGAAATCTCCCATCAACATTTCAGTTCTTTTCTTTAAAAGAAGTGACTTGTATACAGGATTAATGTATATATTTTAAAAAACTGTTGGAACCAGCTTATTCACTCTCATCTTGATTTCTTTTTTCTTTTCCTCTCCTTCCTCTTTTCTTTCTGATTGTTTCATTCTTGATAACTCCTTTCTGCTGCATCAGATCCTTTGCATATTTTTTTCATATGGCTTAGCCTTGTTTCCCAAAGGCTGGGTGTCATCTGCAGCAGTGAGTTCCATATCCTTCCCAGTTTTTGCAGCATCAGCAGTGAATCAGGCAAGATGTTCTCCTTTGCTTTTGTGCTGCTCAGTATGGGAAAGGTTTCTTGGGTGCACTGGGGTTTCTGAACTTCTTTTTTGTTTCCTTCTGAGGAGACAGAGAATTTCCTGTCTCTCATAACAAACCTTGAACATTTGTGCAATATCTTCAAATTTTCCTTGTTCTTTAGCAGGCATGGTCCTTCATTACTCTCAGCACTTCTCAGGAAACTCTAAGATGCTGACTAAAGCATGCATGCAGGTTCTTCTATGTTCCTTCCAGTGAGTTTGCACATAGAATACACATAATAACATTTCAGCATGTCCTTTGCTCATGTTTTTTTTTATTTATTTATTTTTCTTATTTTACATATCAATCCCAGTTCCCTCTCCATTCCTCTGTCCCTCTCTTCCACCCTCCCATGCCCCCCAACCACCCTCCCATCCCCCCCCATTCCACATGCCTTCCAGGAGGGGTCATCTAAATCTGTCAAGTCATTTGGAGTAGGGACTAGGCCCTCCCTCCTGCCACTAGGTTAAGGGAGTATCCCTCTATGGGGAACATGCTCCCAAAGTCCTTTTGTGCTCCAGGGTTATATCCTGGTCCCATTGTCAGAGGTCCCTTAGACTGCCCAGGCCTTCTAACTGAGACCCATGTTCACAGGGTCTGAGTTTGTCCAATGCTGGATTCCCAGCTATTAGTCTGGGGGCCCATTAGCTCCACCTTGTTTAGGTCAGCTGTCTCTGTGGGTTTCTGTAGCCTGGTCTTGTCCTCCCTCTCTGCATCTGGATTCCAGTTTGGCTCAGTGTTTGTCTGTTGGTGTCAGCTTCTATTTCCATCGGCTGGTAGATGAGGGGGCTCTATGATGGTGGATAAGTTAGTCATCAATCTCATTATCAGGGCAGGGCCTTTCCACTGTTGCTCAAATTGTTAGTTGGGGTCAGTCTTGTAGGTCTCTGGACATTTCTCTACAGTTAGTTTTCTCTGAAATGTATAATGGCTCCCTTTTTTATTGTATCTCTCTGTCTCTCTTTTTTTTTATCTCTTGTCTATTCTTCCCCTGACTCAATCTTCCTAGTCCCACATGCTTTCCTCTACTCTCCTTCTCTTTCTTCTACCTCCTTCTCCACTCATTGTCCCCCCACCCCCATGCCCAATATGCTCAGGAGATCTTGTTCCTTTCCCCTTCTGTGAGGGACTTTATATGAATCTCTTAGAATCCTCTTTGTATCCTCCTTGTATCATAGCACACTCTGGCAGTGTGAATTATAGGCTGGTGATCCTTTGCTCTCTGTCTAAAATCCATATATGAGTGAGTACATACCATGTTCCTCTTTTTGTGACTGGGTTACCTCACTCAGGATGATTTATTCAAGTTCCATCCATTTTCCTGCAAATTTCAAGATTCCACACCCTCTCCCCCCCCCCCACAGAGTAGTATTCCATTGCGTTAATGTGCCACATCTTCTTTATCCGTTCTTCAGTTGAG